CACACACACACACACACACACACACACACACACACACACACACTCCCCCCCAAGGTGATACAGTGGGTAGAGCACTGGGCTGAGAAGACTCATCTTCCTGAGTCCAAATCCATCTTTGTTGTGTGACCTTGGCCAAGTCACTTCACCCTGTTTGCCTCAGTTTCCTCATTTGTCAAATGAGCTGGAAAAGGAAATGGCAACCCACTCCATTATCTTTGCCAAGAATACCAGAAATGGGGTCATAGAGAGTCAGACATGACTGAAATGTCTAAACAACAACAACAAAACACGTATATATTTATAGAAAATAAGCTGTGTGAGGGCAGGGACTATCTCCTTTTTGTCTTTGTCTTTCCAGGATCTAGTTTTGTTCCTGGCAAATGTAGTTCTTAAAAAAAATGATTGTTGATTGATCAAGTGAACCTGATGGATCCCAGAAAGACCGATATTAAAAATTAATTAATTTATAATAATTAATAATTCAATGCATTTATCATGTGACTTTGCCTTTTTCTATAAGAACATGAGAATCTCTGTTCCATATAAAATTTTTAAAGACTGTAAAACTTTAATTTTTGATACTATGTTTTAAGAATTTATATAGATATATAATATATATTTTATATATTTATATCATACACACATACATATACATACACACACACATACATACATATACCAGGCAATGTGCCTGGTGATACAAAGACAAAAACAAAGAATTTCTTCCTATCATGAGGCTAGGCATGTGCTCCCAGGACTTCCCTGAGTGAATTTGCTTGCTTTCCCTTTGGGGTGGGGGTGTGTATAGAGAGAACCTCATAAGGTCATAGATTTAGAGTTGAGAGGGACCTTGGAAGTGCAACCTTCCCATTTTATTGATGAAACTGAGGCCCAGAGAGAAATGACTTGTTCAGGATCATGTGGGTAGGAAGTAGGGTGGTTGAGATTTGAATCCAGGCCTTCTTTTTTCCAAATTCAGCATTCTACCCAGCAAAGAGCTGACATTCTGTGGTGAGGAAGCATGTATAGAGTCACATAAATACAAAACATATACAAAATAATTTCAGCCCCCACCTCCCATTAACATGCCTGCCTTCCCCTTCTACCTCTTGCCCTTGTAGCATCTTACAAGGAAAAAAAAATTGTAAGATCATAGACTTAGAACTGGAAGGGACTTTGGAAACCATTTAGCCCACCTGTCTGATTTTTTAGATGAAGAAATTGAGGGCTGTAGAGGGGGGAGGTAATTACCCAAGGTCATAGGGATCGTGGGTAGTTAGGTGGCACAGTGGATAGAGTGGTGGGCCTGGAGTCAGGAAGACCTGAGCCCAAATCTGGCATCAGGCACTTACTAGCTGTGTGACCCTGAGCAAGTCCCTTAACCCTATTTGCCTCAGTTTCCTTATCTGTCAAATGAGCTGGAGAAGAAAATGGCAAACCACTCCAGTATCTTTGCCAAGAAAATCCCAAATAGGGTCACAAAGAGTCGGATGTGATTGAAAAATGACACAAAAACAAACCTTCAAAGAACTTCCCCCAAGACCTCTTAGTTCAAATATCTTTAGGATTTAGGACTAGAGACTTCTAGGCGAACACTTTCATTTCAGAAAACTTTCAGATCAATTTGTTTGGCCCTCAGAACAATCCCATAAGTAAGGTCCAGAGAGGGAAGTCATTTGCTTTTTGTTTTGTTGTCCGAGCCTAACAATACTAACAATCATCATAGGATCAAACAGCGTGAGTTGTAAAGGACCTTAGGAGTTGTTGAGTCCAAAGCTTTCATTATATAGATGTGGAAACTCACAAGTGGGCGAGGTGAGTGATTTGTCCAGGGTCACATAGGTAGCAAGTCATGGCATCCCCTTTCCGATGTCACAGTCCTCTTCAACAATGAAGGACAAACAACAACCAGGCTCACATAGCCAGTTTCAGAGACAGGATTCCAACGCAGGTCTTTCTGGGCCCAAATCCAGCCTCCTCTTTGCTCTACCTCACTGCCACAGATCTTAGTTTCTAGAATTGAAAGACCATCTGGTCAGTGGGCCCATCAGTAAACATTCTTGAGTGTCTACTCTGTGCCAGGCACTGTGGTGGGGATACCAAGAAAGGTAAGTGGCAGCCCTGCTCTCAGGGAGCTCATAATCTAACAGGAGAGACGTCATGCAACCAGCTATGTACAAACAAGACAGGGGATGAATTAGAACTGATGAAAGGAAGGCACTAGGCTCAAGAGGGATGGGGAAAGGCTTTCTGTGCAATGTGGGATTTTAGCTGGAACTTGAAGGAAGTCAGGGAAGTCAGAAGGTAGATATGAAGAGGAAGAGCATTCCATCCTGGGGGATGGCCAGTGAAAATGCCCAGAGCTGAGAGATGGAGGCTCTTGTTTGGGGAACAACCAGTGTCATGGGATTTCAGAGTTCATGGTAAGATGTAAAGTGTAAGAAGACTGAAAAGGTAGTGGGGATAGCTTATGAAAGGCTTTGAATGTCAAATAGAAGATCTTATATTTATTTGATCCTAGATGTGATAGGGAGCCACTGGAGTTTGTAAGGGAGGAAGGGTGACGTGGTCAGACCCATGCTTTTGGAAAATGCCTTTTACAGGGGCAACTAGGTGGCACAGTGGATAGAGCACCAGCCCTGAAGTCAGGAGGACCTGAGTTCAAATGTGCCCTCAGACCAAATACTTGACACTTACTAGCTGTGTGACCCTGGACAAGTCACTTAACCCCAATTGCCTAAAAAAAAATGCCTTTGACAGCTGAGTGGAGGATGGATTGGAATGGGGGCAGACTTGTGTCAGGTTAACCAACCAGTGGGCTATTGGCAATTGTCTTGGATGAAGGCCCGTCCCATGGTGGTGGCAGTTTCAGAGTAGAGAAGGGGATGTATTTGAGAGATGTCATGAAGGTAAAATCTACAGGTCTTGGCATCAGATTGAATATGGGGCATGAGAGAGAGTGAGAAAGCTGTATGACACCTAAATTGCAAACCTAGGAAGGTAGTGGTAACTTTGACAGTAATAGGGAAATTTAGAGGTGGGGGAGGGGTTGGGAAAAAGATAATGAATTCACTTTGGGACCTGTTCTGTTTAAGATGTCTCCAGGAAATCCAGTTTGAGATGTCTGTTAGACAGTTGGAGATGCAAGAATGGAGGTCAGAGGAAATGTTAGGGCTGGAGAAATAGATTTGAGAATCATCATCATAAAGGTGGTAATTGAATCCAGGGGTGGGGTGGGGACGTCTAATGGGATCACCAGCTGAAATAGCATAGAGGAAGAAGATAAAAGGGCTCAGGACAGAGCCCTGTGGGGCTCTCATGGTTAATGGGGATGACATGGATAAAGATCCAGCAAAGGACACCCAACCAAACAGTCAGACAAGTAGGGGGAGAACCAGGAGAGAGGCGAGTTCTGAAAATCTAGAGCAGGGGTGGGCCTCCAGGTGCGGCCTCCAGGCCACACGTGGCCCATTGAATTATTCAGTCAAAGGACCACACTTCAG